GGAACAGCTGTTGGCCGCGCGAAGATGTCGGCCGCGGGGAAACGCTTGGATATTTCGTGGATTGCGCGCGCCTCTTGGCGGCTTCGCCGCTACAATTTTCAGGGCTGTATCTACTTACAACATATTAGGCACCTTACAATTCTTCAATTTCATCGGGACGCGATGCAACTTTTTCTGAAGATATCTCATTTAAACTTTCTTGTGTAATTTATCACAATAGTTGAATTTACATGATGAAAGTATATTAACCGGAAACCAAAGGAATGAAATTATTATGAAAACATCTTGTTAAAAATAGTGTACGCGATTTTGTACGTATCATGCTATTTGGTTGCTATGTTTTTTTTTTACGTAGTATGGCATTCGCATAAAATGCCTCGCGCTATTATCCTAATTTATAAAAAGTTATACATATCCCATCAATTGTGTTAAATTACCATTCTTACATAGCGTAATTAAAATTCCATATGTTTTAAACATCACAATAGTATTTGATTAGAAGTTTCAAAGTATGAAGTTTTATTGTTGTTAACTATTTTTTCTAATGTGACTTATGAGAAGTTCATATTGTGAAGAAGTGCTCGAATGAAACTTTGGCGGTATGTTGTTCGAGAGTATTCGTATACTCTTTTTTTCAATGTATTTATATCTATAGATATTAGCTGTTTTGTAACAAACACTTTATATCTGAAGTATTAACGTACTACGCATAATATATACAATCTAATACATATTACGACAATATTTTTTTGAAAATGTATCAATATATAATAGATATAAAAACAAATTGAAATTTATATTTCAATTCTAAAATTTTGTGAAATTTAAATTGTCATTGAATGACTAGAAAGCGTAGTTGAACGATAACTGTAGAAAAATAAAATTTCAAGAAATTTACAATTGTAATTGTCATTAATTATGTTCAAAAATGATTTTTCGTAGCAATTACATTCCATGTGATTCCGGACATATTAAAGTAATTAAAGTGAGTGGAATATCTTTATCGTGGAAATAGTGAAAAAAGTACCGAAGAATAATCGATGCACAATTAATGAAAGTTCGAAGAGAAGTCTCGTGAGGTCTGCGGCACGTACGCTTTGCAGGAGGTACCCGAGTGGTTGGTAACAGAGACGCTTAGTAGATGAATACGGTCCTGCGCGATCCCCTCCACTTTCCTCATCCCGCTATACGACCAGTCAGTTCCTTGTTTGCCATACAAAATCCAATAGTTTGCCTTGTACCTCGAGAGAGTGCGAGTATGTCTTTTCCATTTGCCTTTTTTTTTAAAAAGTGCGGTAATTCATCAAAGTACTCGCGAAAATGTGCATTTTACTAAGTTTATTCACTCACACAACAAGATTTCGATGGTTTTGAGAAGGAGATCCCAGAAAGCATAGTGAATTCCTGTCTGAGACCAGACCGACCGGCCCGTTAAGGCTTCGTCGATTTTTTGGTCGTGAAAAAACAACGGAGCCGAAGCTTTTGTGCAGAAAGTCAGTTGGACGATTGAAAAAGACCGATACGACGAAAACCAGTGTATCTAAGTGCGCGTACAAATACTCGAGGTGACTCCTGTGTAAAAGGAGCACCGCAGGACGAATATTTTCACTGGAGTTCTCGAGAAAATGTGTTATGTATTTACGTGGAATATTGCGTAACGTCGAGGGCCGGGAAGTGTTTGGAAACGTGCAACACTGACAAACCTCGCTTCGACGACTTTGCAGCACGGGCAGCACGAGCTCTACGCGTCCGTGCAGCTGGCTTTACCGGCTCTATTTCGTCTCTTCTATCCCAGCGAAATTCCCCTCGCGATACCGCGATCGAAATTTTCCAAAGGAAGAAACTCCACCGACGCTCGTATCTTCTCGTGGAACAGCACAAACTTTCCTCGCGATCAACTTGATTTCAACCTCGACCACTTGCTTCTGGATAACTTCTCTCGAAATTCCCTGGTGCAAGGACGTTCAACTTCTTTTCAAATGGAAATTGGTATGTACATCTTTGATATTTTCATAAGATTTTTACTTTCTTCTAAGTCACTGACATTTCTATATTCATGCAAGGTCATTATAAACTACTATGTGAATGTAGACTGTGTCTTATAGAAGTATTAGGTTATAATTATTTTTATAACACACATTTAAGTTTTAATATAATTTTCTTTGTGTTATACAATTTAAGTTTTAGTTTATAAATCATTTTGATTAAAATAATATTATACTTTTGTTCTTAATTACATGCAAGAAATTTATATTAATATGTTTTCCAATATATTATCAATGCATATTAAAATTTGTTTATTTACTTGTTTGTTATTACAATTCATTTCTTACTTTCATTCTAAAAAAATGGGAATTATGAAAAGATATTTTTTTATTATTGATAAACTGTAAATAATATTGGAAGAATTGCAGTTGCGCTTATAAAACTTCATGTATAAAAGTAAATGTAAAGAGAATATATCTTTTATAGTTTTTTGCTTATCTATAAAAAACCAATCAATGTGTTCATAAATTTAAACAATGTATAGAATATAATAATAATATAATAGCAATAGAAAATATTTTTGTATAATATTAAATGATCTTATAGGGACATTTCTTTTATTGTGTATATAGTGAAATTTAAATTTTACATAAATAATATATCAAATATAATCTTTACTTTTTATTAAATATATTATTAACGTATTCTATCTTTCGCTCATTATACTCATTATTGTATTCATTAAATTTTTACGTATCTAATAGATAATTAATTGAAAAGCATGAAATAAAAAGGAATATATATGATAGTATATGCAATAATAACAAATGATTACAAAACCAATATATGAAATAATTTATAAATATAATTATTATTAATAATGAATATTAGTATTTATTGAAAGAAAAATTTCTTTTGTTCCAAATTAGAGATTTAATTCTAAATGATTTATATAGCACTTTTTGTGTGAGGTTATATTACCTAAATATGTCTTTTAGATTTGATTTTTTAGAAGATAGAATCATATTTTCACATGATTTATTTTCTAATATTATCACAAATAATATCATGAAAATATAACCACGTGCATTTTAATTATTTAATATTATGCAATATATATAACAGTTGCGAGTATGAGTAATTCAATTATTTTTAACTTTAAATTGACTAAGAAATTGAAGTCACAATCGTTTCGAATTACTCAAAATTGAATTATAAAATTAAATAATATATTATAAATAATATACTATTTATTAATATATACGAATCATTGTATATATTAACGTACAAAAATATTTTTAAACATGGTCACATAGCGTGTTTAAATTTAACATAAATACTAAAAATTTTCTTAAGTTATTATTGTAAAATGTTTTCTTTATTGAAATAATAATAAAATCTTTATTGAATTTCATATTTTATTCTATTCTACAATGAAAAAGTTTTGTGCTATTCGAAATTATAGGAAAATACTCCCGCTGTTTTAGATTCTTCGAAAGTTCTGTCATACGGTGCCCGAGCGCGCGGTGCTTTCAAAATTACGAATACTACGATGTAAATTCGAATCGATCTAGAAAGGAAATATCGAAATTTAGTAAATGTTTTTTTCTACTGTATCAATGTATTCACGCACGATATTAGCTAGCGTAGTACGGATGCATCGTCGATCACGTCATTTATCACCTTAAACGAAACAATACCACCACCAAATACTTTCAAAGTCTACTACACCTTTTCCGTCCGTTCGTGGCGCGCTAAGCATACGATACGCGCGAAAGAGTTGCGTCGCGTTTTATGACAGTTTTAATGGGAATACGATAATTATTTCTATTAAATCCGACATTAAATAACATACGATTAGTTTTCTGGTGAATTACAACGTCACAAAACAATAATCGTTCTTCGATCCGTAGTATTTCCAATGTGATCTGCGATGAAACGTGTTCGCGGGCTGGACGAGGTAGCATCACCAGCAGCAGCAACATTAAAGCACTCATCAGTGAGTGCAGGAAGTGGCTTAGGTGGCGGAGGAGGTGGTTTGGAGTACCATTCAAGTAGTGGAATAGGCGTTGTTGTACCTGGCCAAGCAGTTCGATCAGTTGCTTCGAAAGAAATGCCGGGAAGCATACAATTTGGAACTGCCCAAGCTCAACAGCAATATACTGGAGCAATTGTAGTGCCGACTGCGGCTCCGTCCCCTATTAAGGTATGTATTATCTACATTATAATAATAATATTAGTAAATAACTACGTGGTTTTTTAAAATTTTTTAAAATTTTTACTATTTTTTTTTAGTTGTCTCATTGTTTTAAATTTTTTTTTCGTATTTTAATTTTTTTTCTTGTATAAAGTTCATCATTCATAATCGTTCTTCATGTATTAAAAATATGTATAATAAAATGATGCAAAATGAGATTAATCTGCTTAAGAATAGTTTAAATTAAATTAAATATTAATTTATTATGTTTTTTTAAATTACTACGTTAATAAATTTATATGATATTATGAAATATTTTTTTTACATGAATATTATATTATTGTTTTTATTTTTATATTTGATAAAGTTATAAAATAAAAAAATTAATTAATTTTAATAATTTTAATAATAAAATAAAATTTGTGAAAATAATCTTATGCTTCGTATTATTAATGAAAGAATAATCAATTATATTTGTGTATTCAATCTTTTTTTTTATATACCAAAAAGTTTTTTTATATTTTAAGTTCATATATACAATCAAGTTTTTAAAAATTAGATGCAAATTGTGTAATTGTTATCAATTATTTTTGCAGGGAAGTGGATCTGGAGGACTTACTTCTACATGTAGTAGTAGCAATGTAAACACTAGTGGAGGGTTACATGGTGGAATAGGTGGTGGGAGTAATCATAGTATGGGTTCCCAACAGCCTGCACCAGGAACCCAAAATCAAGTTCATAGCCAACAGCAACCAACAATAAGGCATAAGGTTCATATTGTATAATAAATCATAATAAATTAGAAATATTTATAAATTATAATATATAGATTTATAAATTATATCTTCATAAATATATAATATATATTATATATTTTATTATTATATATATTATATATGTATTATATATATATTATTATGTATTATTTATAATATAATTATAATTATAATATATAATAATTATATTTTCATAATTATATAAAAATAGAATAAAACATTAAAAATAATTTTGATTATTAATAAAATAGATTTTTTTAACTAACAATTTAGTTTACAAATTTCATTATGTATTCATTTCATGTAGGTTCATTCTAGCAATGTAGCACCATTAGCTTCTACTCCACCAGGCAGTAGCCTAGGTAGTGGCAGTGGATCCCAACAGTTCCAGAGATTAAAAGTAGAAGATGCATTGTCTTATTTAGATCAAGTAAAGTACAAATTTAGTGATCAGCCTCAGGTAAATAAAATATGATGATTATTGATTTTGAAAAAAATTTATGATAATTATAGTTTCAATTACATTTAATTTCAGGTGTATAATGATTTTTTGGATATTATGAAAGAATTTAAGTCACAAAGCATAGATACACCAGGAGTAATAACAAGAGTGAGCCATTTATTTAAAGGACATCCTGAACTTATTGTTGGTTTTAATACCTTTCTTCCACCTGGATATAAAATAGAGGTACAGGCAAATGAACAAGGATATGCATTTCAAGTATCAGTTAGTATGCCAAGTCCAACAGCAACACATACTGCTACCTTATCACAACATCATTGCACTGTAAATGTTGGTTCGCCTCCTGTTGCAAGTCCACCAACACAACCAGCAAAAGCTCCACCAGTTTTACAAATAATGCAAGGGTAGGATGCTATTAGTATTAAATATATTTTCGTCATTATTTTTATAGAATAAATTAATAAATAATATTTTACATGTTATTTAAAATCAGATCCGGAAATATACATCATTCATTGGCAAATAATATTTCGAATAACAGTTTAACTGTACATGCACCCTCACCACCACCAGTACAGGCATACAATAATTCACATGTTAGTGCAGCTCAAGCACAGGCTGTGAGTCAAGCATTAAGTCAAGCGCAAGATGGTATTCCGACCAGTGGGCAAACTCAACAGAGCCAACCAGTTGAATTTAATCATGCAATTAATTATGTTAACAAAATTAAGGTTTGTATTTTGTTAAAGAATATAAAATATTGAAGATATCTAATTTTGTTTAATTTTAGAATCGGTTCCAAGGTCAACCAGACAAATATAAAAGATTTTTAGAAATTCTACACACTTATCAGAAAGAACAACGAAATTTAAAAGAATCTGGACATATGGGTGGCACAAGTGGATCTGGTGCATCTGGCGGAGCAAAACATTTAACAGAAGCAGAAGTTTACAGTCAAGTTGCTAAATTATTCGAAAACCAAGAAGATTTACTCGCTGAATTTGGACAATTTTTACCAGATGCCACTAATCAACAAAGTGCATTGGTAAGTTGACATATTGTTAAAATGAATACGAAAAAAGATTGAAAATAATTACTATTTTTTTTTATAACATCATTTTTATAATATTTCAGAGTAACAAGACTGCTACAGTTAACGATCATACAACAATCGTTAAAAAACCATTGGGACCTAAAGCACCTTATAATAATTCAGGAAATATTTCGAGAGATCTTCGAGAATCAAGCGGTATTAATACAATAGAACGAGAAACTCGTGATCATAGAGATCGTGAACGGGAAAGAGATAGATCTGGTATACGAGATATTAATAGTGTACAAAAACTTGGCCACAATACGGGACAATTAAAAAGAAGTCCGTCGTTTTCACCTTCGGTAACAGCTGGAAACTCTCATCATATACAACATGGTCCACCTCCTTTAAAAAAGCATAAAGTATCATCCATGCGTGAATGTGTTACCATAGCAGAAGCTGGAAAATATGGTAGTTTGAACGATTATGCTTTCTTCGATAAGGTATTTTTGATTTTTAATTTTTATAATAATAACGAAAAAAACACATCATAAAAAAAATATTTCTTATTATATTTTTAGGTTCGTAAAGCATTAAGATCTCAAGAAGTATATGAAAATTTCCTCAGATGTTTGGTTTTGTTTAATCAAGAAATAGTTTCCAAATCTGAACTGGTGCAATTAGTAACGCCATTTCTTGGTCGCTTTCCTGAACTTTTGCGTTGGTTTAAAGATTTCCTGGGCCATTTGCCTGAATCTTCTAACACCAATACAACAAATGCGAGTAGCAATTTAAATGTCGAAGCGCTACCAAATAATGTTGTACGAAGTCATCAAGAGAGACCGCAAGGTGATTTGGCGATGGAAATTGACTATACGGCATGCAAGCGCTTAGGAGCATCATATTGCGCATTACCAAAGTCTTACGTTCAACCAAAGTGTACAGGAAGAACGCAGTTGTGTAAAGAAGTTCTTAACGATACATGGGTTTCATTTCCAACTTGGTCAGAAGATAGTACATTTGTAACATCCAGGTATATATTTTATTTAAATTATTTTTATATAATATTTATTATATAAAATATCGAACAATAGAAAATTTTTTGTTGGTTTGGAATATTAGGAAAACTCAATATGAGGAATTCATTTATCGTTGCGAGGATGAACGATTCGAATTAGATGGTGTGATAGAAACTAATGCATCAACGATTAGAGTTCTAGAAGGTGTTCATAAAAAAATGAGTAGAATGAGCCAAGAAGAACTTCAAAAATTTAAGTTAGATGATTGTCTCGGTGGTTGTTCTCCTACAATTCATCAAAGAGCCTTGAAGAGGATATATGGTGATAAGGCTGCTGATATTATAGATGGTCTTAAGAAAAATCCTGTTGTAGCAGTACCAGTGGTTCTTCGTCGATTAAAGAGTAAAGAAGAAGAATGGCGGGAAGCGCAAAAGGGTTTCAATAAAATTTGGAGAGAACAGAATGAAAAGTACTACTTGAAATCTCTAGATCATCAAGGTATCAATTTCAAGCAAAATGATGTGAAAGCTTTAAGATCTAAAAGTCTATTTAATGAAATTGAAACATTATATGATGAGGTTCGTAATTCTGTTCCTATTTCTGTTTTTTTCTTTAATATTTATATATTTCTTGTTATTTAATTTATTTTTTTAATAATTTATTTTATAGAGACACGAACAAGTAGATGATGGCAGCGGAGATGGTCAAAATAATAGTGGTCCACATCTTGTATTACCTTATAAAGATAAATCTGTCCTAGATGACGCAGCTAATCTTCTTATTCATCATGTAAAACGTCAAACAGCCATCCACAAAGAAGACAAGCAACGAATAAAGCTTTTATTAAAGCATTTTATACCTGATCTTTTTTTCCATCCACGTCAGGAATTGAGCGATGATGAACGAGACGAAGATGGTAATATGATAAATATATTATTATATAGCTGAATATTTTTATATAGTTAAAACAATTTATTTTATATATTCGCAATTATAGATGAGAAGGAAGATCTCAATGTAGCAGCATGTAGTAATTCTCAATCGGCAACGATGAATATTTCTCCATTGAGTGGTGGTCTCCAAGCAAATAGAAATAAGGCCCCTGTATCTCCGATTCCGTCTTCCACATCGATTAAAACTGAACCTGATATTAAAGTACCAATTCATGCCATGTCGAATGATCCTGAAGAAGCGTACACGCTTTTCATGGGCAGCAACAATTGGTACCTTTTTTTAAGGTTACATCATATTTTATGCGAAAGATTAACAAAAATGTACGATCGAGCTGTGGCTCTTGCTGAAGAGGAATCGCGATATAAACAACAACGCAAGGAGAGTACAGCAGTCGCATTACGATTAAAACCCAAAAGTGAGTATAAATCGTAATTTTATTTGCATAAAAAATATTTTTAAATTATATTTTATAATGTAATATTTTTATGTATTTAGATGAAATTGAAATTGAGGATTATTATCCTGCATTTTTGGATATGGTTAAGAATGTCTTGGACGGTAATATGGAAAGTACTGCGTATGAGGATACTTTGCGAGAAATGTTTGGTATTCACGCATATATCGCTTTTACGTTAGATAAGGTTGTGACGTATGCTGTAAGACAAGTAAGCATATATATATCAGTATTTTAAAATATTTCCATTATAATTTTATACTCGAAATGAACTTTAGAATAAAAATATAAAATTCTTAGTTGCAGCATTTGGTCTCAGATCCTATATGCCAGCAATGCATGGAATTATTCCAGCGAGAACAACGTCAACCAAAAGAAAGTAGTGGTGCAGGTGGTTTATGTGCTACAGCATACATGAGACTTGGTGCAGAAATGTCGTATCAACGTAAAGCTGAAAAAGCTATGGCAGACGAGAATTGTTTTAAGATATACATTGTAAGTATTTAATGATAATTTAATTTTTTACACATAATATATTATTTTTTTATAATTTATTGTTAAAAAATAAAAATTTTTTTTATTATTTTTCAATTTATATAATATAATAATAATATATTTTTATTCTTAAGTATTTTATTTTTTAATTTCAGCTGGCAATATTATTAATATCTATATAATTTATAGATGTAAAAAAATAAATATTAAAAAATGTTATTTTTTAATCATTTAAAAAAAGGATATTTTATATGTAAAATTTTTTATTGTTACAGTATAAAAAAGACTGTAAAATGACAATGGAATTGTTGGATACGGAAGGTGATGAGGCGATGGACAACAATTGTAGGGAAAGAGAAAGGGAAGGAGTTACTGTATCTGAAAAATGGTCTACATATGTTGAGAGGTTTTCTGCTCCAGCTGGTCAGACTAGCCCGAAAGACACCCCTACCTTAACAGACAATGAGCCAACAACCAATCATCCTGTGAGTAACGACCAGGCAGCAAGGGGGGGGAGGGGCAGAAAGCGCAAGAACACTGACACTAGCAAGAAGGTATAGGATCCACATCCCTTTTCATAATCATTGCCAACGTTGAAGTTTACATTCATTCGTATTTGATGTCTGTGATTGGAAGTTGTACCGTTGCCATTCAGTGTACAACTAGTGTCCCAAAGAACGAAAATTTACTTTCTTCTAATTATTTCGTGTGATCGTATTATGAAAATATGCCAGAGATATTCGTGTGTGAAACGTTTGATCTCGTAATCAGGCGCCTTTCCAAAACAAATTCGGTCTTCAAGAAAATCTTTGTTGACTTTCTTAAAGAAAAATACCAAAAAAAGAAGTAGAAAATATTTTAGGAACGAATATTGCTGCATATAATATCGGTTGTTTGCTAATACGAGGAAGCTATGTAGCCATATACGATCTGCTATCACCAATGCTTTATCATGCGAATGGGGTCAGAGCACTGGTTCATGCTTGTCATTATATAGAAGTTGCAGAACTTTGTATACATAACCAGAATGAACTAATATTCTTTTAAATGC